CAGCAAGTTGGGAAGAAGCTAAACTCACAGTCCAGTTTCTGAACTCAGTCTAGTATTCTCTATCAGTTTTCTTCTAAAGTATGTGAGATGACTTTTCTCTCATTCTGTGACTCCCCTCCAAGCCCCCTCGAAGCTTTCTGGAAAGGAATCAAACATAATTATGAACAAAGAGGCTTGTGAACTGAGTGGGGGCAGATTCGTGGCGCTGGCAGTGCCCTGGGTCTCCGCTGCAAGCCGCCAGGTCTCCATTCTGCTGAGGACACTGGGCGAGGTGTAAGAGCTCACAAGAACAAGCAGGGCAGAAGCTGCCATGAGACCCTTCAAATCCTTTACCCCTCCTTATTTTGTTACTGGTCACCTTTCTGCCTCACTTACGTTTTCCCTCTTTATATTTACTGTTACTTACGTTTATATTAACATGCCTCAAGATGTGAAAGCACGGACTTACACATTAAGGACACAAACATCCTCTTCCGAGGCTCACAATCTTGCCCTAATTTCAAAGGTTAAGACAATAATGTATAAAATAAGTGAATGTGATAAACCTCCTTGGAGAGATGAAAAATGTTATGGTGGTTTATAGAAGAAATTCAGTCATATACCTTAAATTTAAATGAACTTATTTATTGTGAAGCTTAAAATGCTAAGTATTCTCTATGAACAGATTTTACACCTGCGTGAAAAAAGCCTTCACAATATTAGAGGATGTGTGAAGGAACCACAGCTTTCCTTATTTAACACTGACACAACATTTGCCATGGAAAATTCTCAGGAAACTGTGGTTTTCACACACCTCCAGTTTCTTCCATTTCAAATAAATTACATAAAAAAAGGGAAAACACCTCATCTTTTTATGGAAAAATTTTATTTTGGCATCTGGGTATTTATTATGAACACAAGCATTTGGTGTTCAATTCTGAAAGGAATTTTGAGAATGTACATGTGAATATAAACAAGTCTAAAAATGAAAAAGCTCTCTTACATGCACTGTTCATTCCTGTGAAATGCTGCCTAGAACAAAGGGACTCTTAACGCAGTGGTAGAAGTAGAATGCTGGTATGTTTCTGACATTAATTAGACTTAATTTCAATTCTAGGTTCTACCTAAAGATATATGAATGTTTGTATTTATTAAAAATATCTAGGGAGGTAATATGAACCAGTCCTTTCAGCTGATTCAGAAGAACTGTGGCAACCTAAGGCTCTGAGTCCACACTTAAGGCAACGGGAGACCTTTCTAGATTTGTTCAGGTTGTATAAAACCTACGACACCATGTTTCCAAAATGTAGTCTGACCGACAGGGGACCCATTCCAGGATTTCCCCCTAAACTTCTGTTTTTTTGGGCAGGACCAGGGTTTAGACCTTGGACCTGCCATCTTCTAATGACTGACTATAGGTGTATTTTTGACCTTTCTGGGCCCCTGTGTCTCATTTGTTAAATGGAATTATTATCATCTTCTCAGAGAAAGCTAATGTATAAAAAGCATCTAATGAGTCAGGCAACTAGTAGATGTTAACAGATATTAATTTGCTTCCCCTTATCCTGTAGTTGTTTACTATAACTATCTTTTACTCCCCAGAAGATGACATATTTCTCTAGAAAATACTGTGTCTCCTATTCCCTTCCTATATTCCACACTGCCTGGCTGATGGCTTTGCAAGCAACAGATGTTTTTAATTGAGAAGCTCCTGAAATTCTGGCACCAGCTGTCTGGAAATGTCAGAATTATCATCCTTCAACTCTCTAGCTTTAAAATTTCATCATATACATATTAACTGCCTACTTAACCTTTCCACCCCTTTTCTGCATTTCACTATTACGACTACACACACACGCACACACACAAATCCATGTGTGTGCACATATACACACCTGAATGCTTTCCACATGAGATCACTGTTGCAAGATTAACTGAGATAAGACTGTATATGGAAGAACTGTGCAAGTTGTAAGATATTACACACATTAGTTTGCTCTGCTCTGCTCATCAGACAGCCTCAAATGTGCAGAGCTCTGTGTAACAGACTTCATTTCTGTGAGGTTATCTTCCACTGAGCAGCTTTTCTATGACACACTGAAGAACAATCAGTCCTCCCTCCACAACACTGCTATCTGCCTCATTTTAAAGAAAATTAGCAAATTTTCATACACAAGAACCAAATCAAGTGGAAGAACATCACAAATGAAATAAAATACTAACAGAACAGGTGAAATCAAATAGCTTGGGAGGAATCTGAAATGGTTTCTTAAGCACGGCAGTCTCCCTTGGCTTTAAATCCCTGCAGGATTCCATCAAGAACTTTGATGAAATAAAACAATTTTTCCTCCCTTCCTCTCTACCTTCCCTTCCTCCCTTCCTTTGTTTGGAGGAAGGTACTAACAGGGCAAAAATATAACCAGGTTTCACTTGACACTTCACAGTGAGATCTTAAACTTTTTATCTGAACTGCTATTAAAAATCTCACGACTACAAATATGGTCCTATGCAAATGATTTTACTTATACAAAGTAACAATGATAAGCTAACATAGACATTTGTTTCCCCATTTTTTGGACAAAAGACATTTCACACAATGGAAAAGCTGAACAAAGGGTTGTACGTAGAAGATACTCTAAAAAACTGATGTGCTTTAAAAAAAAATGTTTATTTTTTGAGAAAACGCGCACGTGCACGAGCAGGGGTAGGCAGAGAGGGAGAGAGAGAGAGAGAGAGAGGGAGAGAGAGAGAGAGAGAGAGAGGGAGAGAGAGAGAGAGAGAGAGAGAGAGAGAATCTCAAGCAGGCACCATGCTGTCAGTGCAGAGCCCAATATGGGGCTTGATCCAGCAAACCATGAGATCATGACCTAGCAGAAATAAAAAATCAGACGCTTAACTTACTGAGCCACCCAGGCACTCCTAAACAATGTACATGACACATGTACTAATATTAACCTTCCAAAGTGAAAACAATCAGGCTAGGAAGATTTAAAAAAAAAAAAAAATACAAACATTGGATTTTTTTATCGTGGGTATTTTCAAATACTGCCAAGTTTTACTGTTAAGAGTTTAAATGGAAACTTATTATTATTAGGATACTACATTGCTTTTTAGTCTCACCGTAAGTGAAACATTAATGAAATACTTCTAGAATTTAAATTTAGCATCCAGAAAGTTCGAAAAATTTATTTCAGTAAAATCTTAAAAGATTATTTTTTTAAACTCTCAAAACAAAAATACATTCTATGATATTTTTACAGTTACCACTATTCTATTTAACATGTATGTCACCATTATGCCTGAGATACAGACCAAACTACAGTTTAAAACCATAATAGGATCATATTTTTTCCTTCTCTTCATGAATAAAATCCTATGAAAAATTACTGTAAAATTATGCTGCTACAAAATAGAGAGGCTGTTGTAAAACCACATTCAAGACTTAAGTGGTTTTTTTTTTTTTGGTTAATGTTGGACAATGACAACAACAAACTCTCCCTCCCTTCAAACAAACAAAACTCTTTTATGTTCTTACCATCTTAAAATGCTTTAAAATTCAGAGATGCCTGGGTGGCTCAGTCCAGCTCTTGATTTTGGCTTAGGTCATGATCTCACGGTCATGGGATCAAGCCCTGTGTAGTGCTCTGCGCTGAGCATGGAGCCTGCTCGGGATTCCCTCTCCCTCTCTCTCTGTCTCTCTCTCTCTGTCCCTACCCCATCTGTGTGTGCACTCTCTCCCTCTCAAAATAAACATTTTTTTAAAAAATGCTTTAAAATTTGACATGTCTCATACCAATTGTAGAGAAATCAGTGGGCAAACTGACATTCATAGTTGGAGATTCCAAACACGTGTCTCTTGGTACTCAATAAAACAAGTAGGCAGAAAATCAGTAAAGAAAGAAATCACCTGAACAACACCAACAACTAATGTGACCTACCTGACATTTTTAGGACACTGATCCCAAGAGAAAACATATCGTTTTCAAGTGCACAGGAAATATTCACCAAGATAAGCCACGTTCTGAACCATAACACTAATAAAAATCAGAGAAAATGTGCTCATGGATCATAAAGGGAACAGTAATGAAAAGATACCTAGAAGATCCCCTAATTGCTCAGAAACTAAACAATACACTTAGAATTAAACCACAGGTCAAAGATGAAGTTTCAAAGGAAAATTAAGTTCTTTGAAAAATTGAGTTCTTTGAACTCAAAGAAGACGAGAATACAACATACCAAATTTAAGGGTGCAGATAAAAGAGTGCTTAGAGGTAACTTTATAGCACTACGTGCTTCTGTTACAGAAGAGGAAAGGTCTAAAATCAGGGCCTGAAGTTTCCACATTAAGAAACTAGAAAAAGAGCAAAATGAACACAAATGCACGAAACAAGAAGCAATACGGGTTAGAACAAATGCCAATGAAAGTGAAAATAGAAAAACACAAAAACATCAATTAATCCAAAATCTGTTTTCAGGTTGGAACTCTTATATGTAGACACTACAGAGTGAGTGGAAATGAAAAAGGGGAAACAGGAAGGGAAAGAGAAAGGGGGGGGGAATAGTATGGTGCAGAACTGGTTTGGAGTCCTAACTGTGCCACGTAACAGTAGTCTCCTTGACTCAGCTCACTCCATGCTTTCTGATCTTCCGTTTCCTCATTTGTAAAAACAGGGGTAAAAATAATCTTTCAAAGAGCAGTAAATATGTTGATTAAATAAATTAGTAACAAAAATTACTTGGAAAAAAATAAAAATACTCTTTGTACTCATTAGTAAGAATAAGAGACTAATTGTTGTCTCACATAAATGCCACATTTTAAGTTCAACATACCTTTAAGGACTTTGAAGGTGTGATGTTACAAGCAAAGCAGTATTCATAAATTACCATAAAATATTTTTTTAGTGGCAATATTGGAGCTCAACTGGGGAAAAATCATCATACATTAATAGTAACTGGCTGGTTGGTAAGTTTTCAAGGAAAAGGGTGACAAGAAAACGAAAGTCAACCAATTATAGATATACCTTTTTGCAGATTTTTTCGAAGTTGATATCATCACCGAGAGCAGATTTAGTTACTATATCAGGTTTCAATTCCTATAAAAAAAATAAAGTAATTTTAGTTATGAGTCTAATTTTAAAGCATCATTCATTACTAATTATTATGAGGTACATTCCTTCCCATGTTTTGCTTTTAAGAAATTTGATATTAAATAAGTTCTTAGTTTTTAGACGAGAATAACTCCTATCATAGTAATAAATTATCATACTCTGAAAAACCACAGAAAAAGGAATTTAAGAGCTAATCCTCCTAAGATAATTACACTCAGATTCCAAGGAAGCCAGAAAATTCAATGTGCCAAGAAATCTCTACCATAATAAAAACTCTTTAACTGAAATAAGATTAAAATAATTCAAAATGTTAATTTAAGATTTCAAGATTAAAAGAAATTACTTATTTCAATGACATTTCAGGACATTGGCAATTATATCATTTTATATCAAAATGTAAATCTTTATAGAGAAATACTTAATTTTAATTATTAAAAAAATCTAACCTACACAATACTTTTATATTATGCAAAGAGCTTATTTTAGAAAATTGAAAAACAGAAAAGCAGAGAAAAAATAAGTAAAATTACTAGCACTGTTTATTTACATGGTTACAATTCTATTACACACTCTTGTACATGCTTCTTTAAGAGAATTTAAGTTTGATATACATTTCACTAAGTAACAAAGGGTGACTTTAGACCATACAAAAATGAAGTTTCTCTTAACAGCTATCAAGTTATTCTATTGTGCAGGAAAAAATACAGTGAACATTTGCATATTTTTTTTTCATAATATTGTTGAGAAGACAGCTAAATAAAAAATGAGCTAGTTGGTTTTAAAACAACATTGACTGACAGTGAGGTAGACGTGTGTGATATGGTAAAAATTGTGTAGGTACTATTACATGAAAATGATTTAAATTATATTTTAAATAAAAATAGAACCATAGCATTTTGTGAGCTAGCTTTATCATCTAATGACAGGGCCAATGTTTATCCTTTTTTTTTTTCCCATTCTCTTACATCACTGTCCTTATTTGTTTAACCAAACTTTTATTATTGGACTTATTTTCTGATTTTTATCTTTTAATAAATAGGAGCAGAATGATATCCTTGTATGTACTGACTTGTGTATCTCTTGAAAAATGTCCACATATTCTATATTAAAGAGCTGTGTAAAACTATGTTTTTGGGAAGAGGAGAATGGAAAAAAAATTAAATATTGATAATTATGATCCAATGTCATAAAGATCAGAAAGCACGGTTTCTGAGAATATTCATTCTTATTGTATATACACTAATATGACTGTACACTAATATAAATATTTAAAAAATCTATATAAACAGCATAAAAAGAAAAGACTCTTTTAAGTGTGTGTGTGTGTGTGTGTGTGTGTGTGTGTGTGTATGTATACATAATACGTCTTTAGGAACTGACGAATTAATATGAAAGATTAGCTTCCCCGAGGTAGTTTAAAGTCAGTAAAATTATTTACAGTACAGCTAAAAAAAAAAAAAAATCCAAATCTTAAGACTTGCCCTGCTTTTGTCATTGGCTGGCTATAAGTACTTTTTTCTACTCTGTAAGTGAAAAAGTCATTCTAAAGAGTGAATCAGTTAAATTTTATTGCAAATATGAACATAATGCTTCCAGAAGGGAATGATGTTGCCTAAATCTCAAACCATCCACATACTCCCTCCTAAAGAATAAATTCAACAAGGACTACAAGAACCATGCCTTCTTCATTATTAGGAGGTACAGGATAACAGAAACTTCAAAACATCAAGTTGAGAAACTTAACACCAAATTCAACAGAGCACTCACTGCATCACAATCTTGTGCACACAAAAAGCCAGGGAATACAAGATTAAGAAGACTCTGGGAGAAAAAAACGTGAGTGAAGGACATACATGAATGACAGACAAAAAGCACCACTAGAACTAGAAAACAAAAACTACTACAGAGAGTCAAAATGGATACAAGACTGAGACTTGGTAATTCACAGCAATGGCTACAAGGGAGGACTTGAAATCAAGTGGTTCTGAAGGCAGGGGCCTCAAGAAGCAGGCACAGAATCAGATAAATAGGGGCTTTGTTCCTCCTTTCAGATATAATGATGAAGGTAAAGGAAGAAAGAGAGAAATTAAGGGCCCTTTGTAGACCAAAGAAAAGACAGGTAAACTAATTCCTCCTTATCAATATTCATTAAAAAAAATGATATATGGTGGATCCAGATGGCTAGGATTTCAAAAAAAAATTAAATTCATATAAAATTAAGAAGAAAACAGAAAATGTAAATAAAAACACTTTATTTCATAGATTCTCTCCTAAAATTATGAAACAAACAAAAACTGTAAACACCCTCCAAACTGTATTAGGGAGTCTCAAACAAGCATTTGGATTTATACAAAAAATATGCAAAATTAGAAATTAAGACACTAAGAACAGAAACAGGTAGAACAAAGAAATACATGAACAGCTGATAAAGTTTAGGAAATAAAATGAAAGAAAAGAAAAATAAAACATCTCAGAGATGGAGAACAGATTCAAAGAAAAATTCAATAAAGCATCTTGAAGAAAATCAACTGGGGCAGTTAGGTGGTGCAGCTGGTTGAGCGTCATCCAACCCTTGATTTCAGCTCAGGTCATAATCTCACAGTGTCAATGAGTTCGGGCCTGATGCTGGCTGTGAGCTGATAGCATAGTGCCTGCTTCCCCCCTCCCTTTGCGCTTTCCCTGCTTGCATGCTCTCTCTCTCTGTCAAAATAAATAAATAAACTTAAAAACAAAAATAAAAACCAAAACCTGGGAGGCTCAGTTGGTTGAGTGCCCGACTTCAACTCAAGTCGTGATCTCACAGTTCGTAAGTTCAAGGCCTTCATTGGGCTTTCTGTTGTCTGTGCACAGCTCCCTTCGGAGCCTCTGCCCCCTCTCCTTCTCATGCTCTGTCTCAAAAATAAATAAACATTAAAAAAAGAAAAATAATTTTTGAAGAAAGTCAAGAAAACTACCAAGAAAATGAAAATGAGGTAAAGAAAATAGCAAAGGAGGATCCCACATATCTATAATTGATATCTCTGAAGATGAAAAACAAAACAATGAAAGAAACCAATACTTAAAACTGTGATTCTAAAAAAAACAAACAATAGAAAACAAACAGTAGAAAACTTAAAAACAGAAAACATTTTGTTTGGGAAAACAAACAATAGAAAACTTAAAAAACAGAAAAGCTAAAATGAGTTGCAATGATCAATAATGCAACCTATCTTTGTAAAGCCATTAGACATTAAAAACAAAGAAAAAATCTTCAGAGACTGGAGGCAAAAATAACAATTTAGTTTAAGAGTAAGAAAATAAAGGTTGTTATCAAGAATAATATTCAAAGCGAGTTCAGAGAAGCATTTTCAAGGTAAGCAGGTTCAAGCAAAGGATTTTATACCTAGTCAAGCTGCTCTACAAGTATCAAGTCTACAGGAAAAAGTTTTGAACCTGCAAAAATTCAGAGAATGTTGCACACATCTGCCTCTCCAGAGGAATCTTCAAGAGGAAAAGCTTTGGCCAACAAGAGATAACTTTGGTAAAAGGACTGATGATGAGTATCTATTTGCCGAGCTATAATGAAAACAAATATGGGGGCACAGGATAAACAATTGAAGGTAAACTTGACATAATCTAAGTAAAATGAAAATGCAGTTGAAAAAATAGGAGAGAAAGGGAGAGTAGAATAAGATCACTCATTGACTACTGTTTAGGTAATATGCAGGAGTCAAAGGACAGGGTTTAAAATGGACTGGAAAGTAAAATATTACATAAGAAAATGGGAAAGTAAGGGCATTATATAAAATATGTAAATACAAAGATAAATAAACCATGGAACAAAAATATGTATTTTTCTAAATACCACAAACTTCTTAAACATTGCAAAAAGAGACATCTAGACAAATACAACATAGAATACCCAATAATTAGAATGTACAATATTATATGACAGAGTTGAGAACACAAGGAGTATATTTTAATGTGAATTAGTTTAATGTACCTACTAGAAGGAAAAGATGTCCAGACTAGATCAAAAAGCAAAACCTAAGTCTATGCCATTTATATGAGACACACAAAAATGTTACTCAAAAACGCTAAAAATGAATTTGCAAAGATACATGAGGCAAATAGAAACAATTAGAAAACAAGAGTTGAGATCATGTATCAGATAAAAAATAATTTAGATAAAGACAAAAAATGTTGGGGCGCCTGGGTGGCTCAGTCGGTTAAGTGCCTAACTTTGGCTCAGGTCTTGATCTCGCGGTCCATGAGTTTGAGCCCCGCATCGGGCTCTGTGCTGACAGCTCAGAGCCTGGAGCCTGTTTCCGATTCTGTGTCTCCCTCTCTCTCTGACCCTCATCCGTTCATGCTCTGTCTCTCTCTGTCTCAAAAATAAATAAACGTTAAAAAAAAAATAAAAAAAAAAAAAGAAAAAATGAAACAAGACAAACAGAAAACTACAGAATATGGAGAAATAGAAATACGTTACTAACAGAAGACTTTCACACAACTCTCCATTCAACAGATCTCAAAATAAGAGGAAAAAGGCATTAGAAAGTCTTAACCTAATAAGGCATATCTATCTGTCTAATGGATTTGTTACCAACATTATGCTCTTATAATACAAATTATACCTTCTCAAGCATACATGGAACATTAAACGATTGATCAAATATTAAGTCAAAGTAAAGTATTATCAAGCAAAGTATGAACAATACTCCCTGATCACAATGAAAAAGTAGGAATTAAAGAAAATCAACCTATAAACAAAAAAGCTCTCCTACCAGGAATTTTTTAAAAAACAACAAAATCCTCAAACAACTCTTGAGAAAGGGAAAATATAAACAGAAATTTCAGGGTTTCTGAAAATTAATAAGGAAACACTATATTTTGGAATTTACAGGAAGTAGTTTTTATTCTTTTTTTTTTTTTTTTTTAATAAAATGAGGATTCCTGAATCTTTTAAAAATGTATTTAGTTTTGAGAGAGGGCATGAGTGAAAG